CCCCAAAACCCCAAAACCCCAAAACCCCGGATAATTCTAACTTTTTTGAATACAAAATTTAAATCAATTTTATTTCTTATTTTTACTTTTCGAACTTGACCTAGGCCTTCCCTTCTTATCCTTCTCCCCTTTCTTCCCTTCACTAAAAGTATTCCTCCTAAAAGACCCAAAAGAATCTTGACTCCTTAGCGGTCTTCTCTCTTCATCCTTACTAAGTTTTCTATCATAATCAAGGGCCGAAAGGCACAAAACTCCTGCAACAAATCAAACGGCTGCGAATCCTACGAATATAATAACATATCACTGTGAGCCTTGGCAGTTTCCTGCCTTATCAGGATCCGTCTTCTCACTGACCCACCAGAAGAACGCATCGAAGATGAACATTCCAGCAGCATTAACACTCAAAGTGAATCCCCACAAACTTTTAAATGATTTCGGCCCTGCATCGTCTAAAACCAACTGTGGAACAACGACCCAAAATCCTCCAGTTCCTGCTCCAACGAAGAATGCCGACATGTAGTAGAAGAAGTCGTTGGTCACTGACAAGAACACCAGAGCGAATCCAACAGTCGAGGCGAAGCAAGCAATGGCTGCTAGCAACCAAGCATTGATAACGTTGTTGAACATAGCTGAACACATACCTCCGACGAGGATGGTGAGCACAGCACTTAGCCAGTAAGCATAGTCGACTTTGTCTGCGAGTTCAGGCTTTCCGACATCTTCAGCAACATCTGAAGCTTCGAGGTAGTAAGTAGTACCTGTTCCAATGATAATAAAAGTGCTGACTAGCAGGTACAAATATCTTTTATCGACAAGCATTTTACCGAAGCTCTTTTTGGGAGGAATATATTCGCTTCTGACCTCTGAGATTCCAGTTCTTTCTATTGTAAGAAGCAACCCTTGTATAATGAATACAAGTGCTACAAAATTAACCAAGACAATCAGTGTGATCAAGATGATTGACAGGCGATAAGCTTGGGTGACAATACAAGTAGTGTACACCACTGCAAGGAATAACCCAGCAATCACTGCGTACACCAAGATTCCTAGCTTATCTGTGAGAATAGAGGCCTTCTTCAGTTTCTTGTTCGACTCATGGTCTCCAATGATCATGGCACCCAACATGTAAACGCTGAAGTGGATACCTGCAGACACAAGCATGTTGGTTTTCATATCCAGGCTTTCAAAGTATCCATTCCTGATGCTAGTATCAAAATAACGAGCAGCAAAGTAGTAAGAAATCATCACAGCAGCGACCATGGCTCCAGAGCGTCTTGAGAAGTTCTTGATAATGGCAGCAATAGCAGCTATTGTAGCAATGGCACAAGCAAAAGAAACTGTTAAAACCAATGTCACAATAATTACAGCATTGAAGGTTCCAACGCTTGAGGCATCTGTGTAGAATGCCAGCGCCACAAATCCAAGTCCTGAAATAATAGCTGCAATCAAGAATGAAAATGTACTTCCAATAATATCAATCATTGGTCCTGCCAAGATTCCACCATAATATCCGAACAGTACTCCCCATCTAATAAACTCCTGATGAACAGTCTCAAAACCTAGCTGATCTTTGAGTTCTAGAAAATACGGCACTAAATTGAGTGCCCCACCTGCCACAATAACAACTACAATCCCAAAGGGAATGGAAGACCAGTTGGTCAGCATCCCCCTAATGTCAGCAGACGAAATCTGCCCTTCTTCACCATCTTTCTTAGGCATTTTATCCTCCTTATTTTATTTCGATAAAATCTTGAGATATAGGGGTTTTGGGGTTTTGGGGTTTTGGGGTTTTGGGG